ACACACACACACACACACACACACACACACACACACCTGTGAACCAACAATGTCTCATTGGTTGAGGCAGAAAAAGGAGTCTGACAACCTCACATACTTTTCATGGGCACATCAGACATGTTAAACCTGCTCACCCAGAATGCACCTGTGCATGCCTTCAGTCAGGAGCAGTCTCACTGAAATGACTATTAAACTATAAGAGCAGTTACAGTGTTAGTATAAAACATAATTCACCTGAATAAAAAAAACATGCAAAGAATGCAGACGGCATTAATAATAATTAGGATTTTTATATTTTGCAACACAGAAATCTTTCTCCTAAATGGTTCAAAYCACAGTAAAGTTTTTGTCCTACAGGGTAAAAGTAATTTAGCAATGACAAAWGTCTGTTGAGTTTGATGACATAACCTCTGTTGGCTGCAGTAAGTGATGCTACAGAGACTTTTACATATTCATGGGCTGGTGCTGAAATTTGTTATTGTAATTTACCCTCTAGGTGTTACATAATGCAGCAGCTGTGTACTGTCAGATGGGCCACTGGGACCAGGCCAAAGACGTTCTGTTGACCACCTCCCAGGAGAGAGGAGGGGGACGAGTGGGAAACATCGAGGTGGATTTGGACAGCATACAAGTGAGTGCTGCAACCTACCACTCTGACTGGAAAGGGCATAAAACAAAAATAATGACTGGTGGGAAACTTTCAGAGGCAGTTTGTTTATCAGTGTCGATTTATGCCCTAACCCTGAGGGACAAGATTTTCWACTGTCAGGAAAAACTGGTTTGTTTGCAAACCATTATCATATCAAGGAAAAACAAGACTGTGTGATCAAGCATGCTGACATGCTGCATGTCACTTAGCAAAATAAGAAAGTCACATTTACATGATCCATACTGTAGTATACACAGTGTGTGCAGCGGGTAAAATAAGTATTGAACACGTCATCATTTTTCTCAGTAAATATTTTACTAGAGGTGCTAATGACATGAAATTTTCACCAGATGTCGGTAACAACCCAAGTGATCCATACATACAAAGAAATCAAACCAWAAATGTCCAGAAATGAAGTTATTTGTAATAATGTGGAATGGCACAGGGAAAAAGTATTGAACACATGAAGAAAGGGAGGTGTAAAAAGGCATGGAAAGCCAAGACACCAGCTGAACTCTCTCAGTAATTAGAAAGCAAGCCTGCCCCTTGTCAGTGCAAGTTAATATCAGCTGGTTCAGTCCCAAATGATGGCCAGGTATCACAAGAACCATCTGATGATGGGTAAAAGTAAAGAGCTCTCTCAAGACCTTCACAACCTTATTGTTGCAAAGCATAATGATGGCATCGGTTACAGAAGAATGTCTAAACTTCTGAAGGTTCCAGTGAGCACTGTTGGGGCCATAATCAGAAGTGGAAAGAACATTATTTCACCATAAACCGACCACGACCAGGTGCTCCTCACAAGATTTCTGACAGAGGAGTGAAAAGAATTATCAGAAGAGTTGTCCAAGAGCCAAGGACCACTTGTGGAGAGCTTCAGAAAGACCTGGAATTAGCAGGTATGATTGTTTCAAAGAAAACAATAAGTAATGCACTGAACCACCATGGCCTGTATGCACGCTCACCACGCAAGACTCACTGCTGAAGAAACAGCATGTTGAAGCTCCTTTAAAGTTTGCTGCACAACATTTAAACAAGCCTGTGTAATACTGGGAGAATATAGTCTGGTCAGATGAGACCAACATTGAACTGTTTGGATGCCAGAATACACATCATGTTTGGAGGTCAAATGGCACTGCACATCAGCCCAAAAACACCATACCAACAGTGAAGTTTGGAGGTGGGAACATCATGGTGTGGGGCTGTTTTTCAGCATATGGTACTGGCAAACTTCAAATAATTGAAGGAAGGATGAGTGGAAAAATGTACAGAGACATTCTTGATAAAAATCTGCTTCCATCTACCAGGATGATGAAGATGAAACGTGGCTGGACATTTCAGCAAGACAATGAGCCCAAACACAAAGCCAAGGAAACTCTCAGTTGGTTTCAGAGAAAGAAACTAAAGCTGCTGGAATGGCCCAGCCAATCACCTGACCTGAATCCAACAGAAAATCTATGGAAAGAACTAAAGATCAGAGTTCATAGAAGAGGTCCACGAAACCTTCAAGATTTGAAGACTGTTTGTGGAAGAATGGGCCAAAATCACACCTGAGCAATGCATGCCACTAGTTTCTCCATACAGGAGGCGTCTTGAAGCTGTCATTGACAACAAAGGCTTTTGTACAAAGTATTAGATAAATTTCAGTAAGTGTGTTCAATACTTTTTCCTTGTGCCATTCCACATTATTACAAATAACTTMATTTCTGGACATTTATGGTTTGATTTCTTTGTATGTATGGATCACTTGGGTTGTTAYCRACATCTGGTGAAAATTTCATGTCATTARCACCTCTAGTAATATATTTACTGAGAAAAATGGTGACGTGTTCAATACTTATTTTACCCGCTGAATATACACAGCAGTAATCAGCACTAAACCAAATAGTAACAGGCAGTTCAGCTGTATTTAAGTAAACCTGATTAAATCAGTTTAACTCAGGGAAAGGGATTTTGATTTAMAACTGCCTAATTAAGAAGTTTCTTTGCTGTCTGCTGCAGTCCAGAAACAGCCAGGTGACTCACTGGTTGCCACTAAYCTCCCATCACAGCAGACACCTGCAGGGAGACCTGGCTGCAAACAGGACCCAGCAGAACTCTAAGAACCAAAGACATAAAAACTAAGTGACTCAAGGAATATAAGACATGGCAACGGTCCTCCAACAAGAAGCCCAAAATCTGAAAATTTAACGGCAAAAATAAATTTATTTAAGATAAATGCAGGTGATTTAAACCCTCTGGTGCCCCTGGGTCAAAACGGTCAGGACAGGAAATTTTGTGTATTTACTGTTTTAGTCAAATTTAGAATTTTTATTTAGTGAATGGAGTATGCTGGGTCCTCGAGAGGACTGACAGATGCTCCACACCATTGTCACGTCTGTCCCCTTCTCTAATATGATTCTATGATGGCTGAGCCCCTCTGGTCTTCAAGAGCCTCTGTTGTTATGCTTTATTAGTTTCTTTGCTCCAACACACCTGATTTGGTGACTGAAGTACCTCTTCATGTTCCCAGTGTTCCCAGTGTTTCCAGTGTTCCCAGTGTTCCCAGAGTTCCCAGTGTTCCCAGTGTTTCCAGTTTTCCCTAAGTTTTACAGTGTCCCCAGTGTTACCAGTGTTCCCTGTATTCCCAGTGTTTCCAGTTTTCACAGTGTTCCCAGTGTTCCCTGTATTCCCTGTGTTGAATGATTACTTTAAATAGTACAGAGAAATACATTTATATAACTTCTTTTGAAACAGAGGCGGGTCCACCTGACTCCTCTCCTGGTACCTGAAGGTGTGGTGTTTCGTCCCAGGAAACAAGAGATTGAGCAGCTGCAACAAAGGGACTTCTTGGGGAAAGCTAAGGTATTGTGTCAGGTGGAAACATGACATGCAGTGTGTTTAAAAAGTATTCAGATCCCATTCACTGTTTAACATTTTGTTGTGTTGCAGTCTCTCGCTACTTTCTCTGAAACCAACTGAGAGTTTCCTTGGCTTTGTGTTTGGGCTCATTTAAAATCTTTCTCAATAATCTGCTGTCATGACCTCATTCTGACAACATGAAAAATAATAGAATATAARTTACCTTTATTGTCCCTCAGTGGGGAAATTCTGGTGGGAGAAAAGAGAGTTTTTAAACAATTTTGTGAATTTAGTTTATAAAACATTAATTTCTAGACACTTTACATAACATTTATAGTCTACACAACTATTGCAGAAGTTCCAGCCTTGAGGTTTTTTTTTTTTTGGTTTCAGGCAACAAACTTTGCAAACATAAATTGGAAGATTTTCTTTTTCCAATCCTCTGAGGGTCAGTCCAGTTGGATGGGATCATTTTCAGATCTCTCCAGAACTGTTTGATAGGATGCAGGWCAGGTCTCTGGCTGGTCTGCTCTAAGCTCTGTGGTCTTCACTGTGAACTTTGAGTCATCATTATGTTGGAAGGTGAACTTCAGACAAGTCTGTTTCCTGAGTCATGTGGAAACAGGTCTTCAGTGAGACTATCTTTGTACTTTTCTCTCTTCAGGTTTCCATTCCAACAGCCAAATGCTACCACCATCATGTTTTGTTGTTGGACAGACGATAAGCAGTGCCTCCTTTCCTTCAGATATGATATTTAGAATGGACCCAAACACTTCCATCTTTGTTTCATCAGACTAGACAGTCTGAAAGTCTTTCAAGCWGCTTGGAAGYRTTTTTCACTGAGGAAATGCTTCAGTCCACTCTGACATAACACCAGACTGGTAAAGACCTGAAGTTCTGGTTGTCCCTCTGGACCTTAGTCCCATATCCACACAGGGTACCTGAAGCTCAGCCAGAATGGCCATCAWGGTTTTGGTCACCTTTCTTACCAAGACCCTTCTACCTGGACTGGTCAGTGTGGTGAGGTGACAGCTCTGGGAAAAGTCCTGAWAGTACCAAACTTCTTCCATTTGAAAATGTTGGAGGCCACTGCATTTTGAGGAACCTTCATCTATCCATCCATMCATTATCTATACCCGCTTCTTCCTTTCAGGGTCACTGGTGTCCATATCCAGCAGACACAGTGTGAGGGGCGGGGTACACCCTGGACAGTTCACAAGTCCATCACAKGGCCACACATAGAGACAAATGAGACAAACTGTAAGGAGTTGGCTTGGTTGGTTTGAACCCCAAAATGCAGGTCTGAGTGAGGGTGGCAAAAAAAGTTTATTAAGACAAAAAAAAACAAAGTGCTGGCGTGGCAGCAAACAAAAACAAAGGATTTGGGCAGGATCAAGAACATGAATAAAGAGCATGARAACAAGGAACAAGAGATCGCAAACAGTAAACAAGGATCTGACACCAGACTGAGACAAGACAGGACTTAAATACACTGACAATTAATGGACAAACTGAGAAAACCTGGTGAGAAACACAAGGGTGACTAATCAGACAAATAAGGGGCAGCTGGGCTGAGACACACTGGGGAACATACAGTAGAAAGACAAGGAAAACCAAGGTGAAAACTGACAAATCATGACACAAACAACCATTCACTCTCTCACTCACACAATTTAGAGTTATCAATGAACCTAACAGTCATGTTTTTGGTCTGTGGGAGACAGATGGAGTGCCTGGAGATAACCTACACATGCAGAGAGAGTGCTACCTACAAAGGTCCCCAGGGTGGGATTTGATCTTTTGACCTTCTGAGAGGCATCAACTCTACCTACTGAGCCACTGTGCTGCTTCCGTGTAGCAGAAATACTCTGTAGCCTTCCCTGGAACAGTTCCTTTGACCTCCTGACACTGACCTCCTGACACTGACCTCCTGACTTTGACCTCCTGACACTGACCTCCTGACACTGACCTCCTGACTTTGACCTCCTGACACTGACCTCCTGACTTTGACCTCCTGACACTGACCTCCTGACCTGGTTTTGCTGTGATTGTCAGTTAAGGGTTCTTCTATAGAAAAGTGTGTGCTTTTCTAAATTATGTCCTATCAATCAAACTGACCACATGCAGAATCTGTCATGTCAAAACATCTCAGCAGTGATTAAAAAAGAGGAGGAACTAAAGCTAAATGTCAAATGTTGGTACAAAAAGTTTGAATACTAGTTTAGATGTGATTTTTTTTTCCTTTTCTGTGAATTTACAAAACTGTGCAAATGTTTCTACCTTGGATACTGAGAGTAAATGTACGATACTGGAAATAAATCAAACCCACAGTAGCATCAAAGGTCAGACTGCTTTCTGCAGCTGCTTCATGCTTTCAGAAATGCAGTTTTTATTCTATCATCAGTCAGATCATTTCTGTAGTTTCCTGTGTTTCATGTGATGAGTAGTATCTAGTAATGTTTCATGTTCTTGTGCTSCAGGTCATTTCTTCTTTGATTCCCAATGATGATTTTGGAGGTTTTGAGCCTCTGAGGGATCAGGTCAGTCTGACCTCTGTGCAATCACACATAAAATACTCCTGTCACTCAATCAATGGGCTGACTGATGGTCTCCATGCTTTCTTTACAGAAACCCGGCTTCTATGAACCCAAGATGGAGGGATCTCAGTGAGTATTCTTCAATTTTGCAGGACCTGTTTGAGCTACACTGCATCTTAGTAAATCAGCACCTGATGGAAGTCTGTGATGGTTTTTCTTCTTTTGCATTTTGTAGAGAGAAAGAGTCTCGCTACATGCGTGTGCGGCGTCCTTTCATGGCTCAGGGCCCGGGACAACTGACTGTGCCTGGAGGAGCCATGGTGTTCTTATTTGGGGAGGAGGACAGAGACGGAATGATAAATGTCATATTTGATGGACAGGTRGGACAGATGACCCCAACACATCCTCATTCTTTAAACTGGAAAACAAAGGAATACAGTGTGAAAAAAAATGAAACTTAACCATTGAAATAAAAATAGTCAAAGCTAATGCTAAAACTAACTTAAACTAAAAGCAAATTCAATGTTATAACCCTTCGTATAAGCAGTGAGAACTACTGCCCTAATTCAAGAAGACCAACACTGCTGATCAACATYAGGAATATAAAACTGACTCTAAAATTCTCAACACAAAATCTGAGCACCAGCTCACCTCATCACTTCTCACATTGTTAGACACATCCCATCAGAAGACGATCTCARGCTATGTCAGCTTGGCATCACATGAAATCAACCAGTGCTGATATTAAACAGTGTAGGTTGAGTAAAAGTGATTTTAGCTTTGAATGAAAAAACAACAAATCTACTGTACATGTTYATGATTAGAACTGATCTTCTTTCAGAGGGGACTCCTGCCTGCGGCCTTCTTAGAACCTGCTGATGTCAAGACACCCAAAGGCAAAAAGGACAATGTAATGAATCAGTTCATCCATATATGAATATATTTTTTGATTTCCTTTCAATAAAACAGAAAAAAGATTTATATTTTAATGATGTCACTGAGGTAAACTTGTAAATGAAATAACAGCTCCTGGCTTCCTGAAGAGAAATAAATCCAGTGACATTTGGCTAAATTGAAGAAACAGTTTAAAGGTCTTTGTCTCTTCCACAGAGACCTCCCAGTGGAATCCCCCTCCCACCAGAACTGAAGCCACCCACACGCCCGCAGGTYCAACCAAAAGCAGCAGCCCCCCCTCGAGGTAAAACTCGAAAACATTTCTAATACTTTGATTTTTAATTGAGACTTTTTTTAGCTCAGGAGACACAGACGTCTCCACCATCTGTCTATGGCTGCATTTTCCTGAAAAACCATCCACACCAACTAGTAAAAACAAGGGCGCATACACACACACACACACACACACACACACACA